TGTCTAAAGAAGAGTTTAAACTAAACAAAAATGATGGAGTGATTGGTTAACCATTTTTGTTTATCTAAACTGAAATGATTGTCTGAGGAAGAGTTAAACTAAACAAAAGTGATGGAGTGATTGGTTAACCATTTTTGTTTAACTAAACTGAAATGATGTGTTAACTAAATCTATCTGCAGATTACAGTATTACACCCTCCCAAAAAAAAAAAAAAAAAAAAAAAAAAAACTCATCTCATGAATTTCAGTGAAAGATCCATAAATCCATCACGCTTTCTCCTCAAGAAAAAGTACACTTTTTCTTCTTCTCCAAAAAAATCCAATGCCTTAACTATACTATTCATGGGCTTCACGTCCCTCTTCAAGGCGGGCGTTCCCTCGTAGTTAATGTGCATCTCCAACAAAGTTCATGTGATCAACCACCACTCACTCACTCACTCACTCACCGCCGCACTGCTTTGGATTCCTCCACCGCACATTGCCCAATTCCTCATGCATTTTCCCTTCTCTTCCTTGTAGATAGGCATGCCTCTTCGATCTTTGCTACTTGTCCTTTCTAGCTTCCTTTATGGCACCCACGACCAGACAGATTTCCTCCCCCTATTTTATAGGGTTCTTGAGATTTGGGATTCCAATTATTTCAGCTCTCAGATTGTTGGATTTAAGTGATTTCTAGTTTTTGGCAGACAATGAAATTTGAGGACTTCTTGATGGAACCAAGTGAAGAGAAGAAGAAGAAGCTCGTGCTCGAAGAGGAGGTGAGAATTTCATTCCTGAAGCAATATTAATTGTATCGGTAGATATATTACCTTTCTATGTTTGCTGCAGATTAAGAACTTGAAAACAGAACTAGATGGGGAACAAGAACGCAACAGGGTTCTGCACTCTGCACTTCAGGGGCCTGTGCTGCTACAGCCATGTTTGTCCTTATTGCTTCCACCTCAAGTAAGATACAATGTAGGAAAACCCTAAAAGTGATTCATAGAATTGATCTTTTGAGCTAACTAAAAGAGCATTATTCTGTAGGTTCAGGTGCTCCTTGCTGAACTAGCAGCGGTGGAGGAGGAGATAATTTGGCTAGAGAGAAAAATAAATGGGCTGAAGATGAGATTGTATAATGAAAAGAAACAGAACCAGCAATGGAAGCAAACACAGCAGCAGCAGCAACATTCTTTGATACATAGACAGGGATATATTTCAGTTCCACATGATGATATTAAACAGCGATCCAGATCACAGAATTATGAAGTAATCAGAAAAGGCAAAATGAAAAGTTATAGGAGATCCTCTATTGGTTCTTCTACAGACATCCTTAGCACATCTTCCTTAGAATCGATAGGTAAGTTACTTGTATTCCAATGTTACAAGTAAAATTCCAAGTTCTAGACTTACTAGCTCATCATTTTGTTGGGGAGTAATAAGCAGGGGAAAGTTATGAAAGATCAAGAAGGCTGAGCTGTAGAATCAGAAATCAAAGCCATACAAGCAAAGAGGTTGCGAATGAGAAACCTAACACACTTTCAGAAGAATTGCTGAAATGCCTGATAGACATATTTCTTGAGCTAAACCAAGCACCAGAAGATCAAGAAGGATCAGCTATCATTCCAAAGCTTAGTCTCTCCTGCATGAATCCAAAAGGCTTCATGGCAAAGACATCATTCAACTGTAAAGCGCCCTCATTTCCTTTCAATCACAATGCATCAAATATTGATCCTTATGGCATATTGCCAGATTTAGATGGCATTGTAAGGGACATTGGCCCTTATAAGAACTTTATCCAAATCACCAGTCAGTCTTTAGATATTAGTCGTTTTTCAGAATGCTTAATAGCACTGGGAAAACTGAGGTGAGCCATTTCAGGTATTTCAAGTTTGTTATACAGTTCTAGTCAATGGAGTAACTGATGTATCCCTTCATGTATTTCCTATTTTTTCAGGGTTTTGATGCACAAATTATCTACTGTTGACTTGAGTTTCCTAACCTATAAGCAGAAGTTAGCATTCTGGATCAACATCTACAATGCCTGTATAATGCATGTACTGTAAGACATCTTAAGCTACATAAAAGCAAATATGAATCCAGTTTCAATACAACATGTAAAGCAATTCCATTTTCATCAAATGCAGGCATTTCTTGAACATGGGCTGCCTTCCACACAAGACAAACTGCTAACAGTTATGAACAAGGTAAGTAAATAAATGTATTGTTTGAGTAACTCTTTAGACCAGAAGATATATATTACATTGACACTGTTTCCGACACAGGCTGCACTGAATGTGGGAGGTATAGTGCTTAATGCTCTGGCGATTGAGCATTTCATTCTTCGGCATCCATGTGAATCAACAAATGTGAGTGAATATTTTCAACCTATATGTAGACTCTGGAATCAGGATAAATAGTTCCTAGTGTCTACTTATTTTCATGATTTTCAACAGAACAATTATATTGTAACATTTCTAGATCCATCTCAATCTCAGTCAAGGTGATTTTAAAATCAAACCTAGGAGCATGTTATACTTAGGTTTTAATTGACTAAAGAACTTGAGGACTAAAGTGAGCCAGCTGTAATCTCCTTTCTTTGGAAGTCAGAGGCCTTAGGTTTGAGTTGTATTGCATGCAGTAGGATAAGTGAAGGGAAGGGAAAGGGTGCCTATCATTGTGCAAGCCAGAGTAAAAAAAGAAAACAGTGACTAAAGGACTTCTATATTGACCCCACTAAGTAGCTGATAATTTCATATCTCACAGGGTCCCATGGATGAGAAGGAAATGCTACTGCGACATGCCTATGGTTTGGGGTACCCAGAACCAAATGTGACATTTGCTCTTTGCCGAGGCAGTTGGTCCTCACCAGCGGTAAGTGCATGTTAGCAGACAAACTATAATCCATCTACCCTGAATCATGAGTAAAATTTCAAAGCATTATGAAACAAAGTTCTGACATGCAGTTAAGGGTCTATACCTCAGATGAAGTGGTGAACGAACTGGGTAGGGCAAGAGTGGAATATCTACAAGCTTCTGTGGGAGTTACAAACAAGAGAAAGATTATAGTGCCCAAGCTTCTGCAATGGCATATGCAAGATTTTGCAGATGACATGGAATCACTACTGGAATGGATTTATAGCCAGTTGCCACGTTCTGGGTCTTTAAAGACATTAATAATGGAGTGTCTAAACAGAGAAACAAAATCTCCTGTGAAAAAAATTGTTGAAGTACAGCCTTATGAATTTGAGTTCCGCTATCTTCTACCCTTGTAAGTTGTAAGGGAAATGAAATAAGGGAAAGATATGGCACCATCATCTACTAAAAAATACATGGTTGCAGCAGTTTAGCTGATATTCTAAAAGGCCTGAGATTAAAAGGATAAATGACCATGATATGTATCACAATAGCTCTATACCGTACCAACCCCGGACAATTCCAAATTGTCAGACATGCTTCAAATACCTAAATCCTATAAACTTGTGTGTGATCAACATGGACGAAATAATAGGTCACTGTTGACAGATGCAATATAATCAGCCAAATAACATATGGAAGTGGATGCAATTGCAAGAATGATAGCCATTGATGCTAAAGTGATCTACATCCAAGAAGAAAAGAGAAGAAGAGTGCAACAGGTGGGGGGACCAAAAGGACACTGCTTCAACGGAAGTTGCCATCTTCCTTAGAGAAACAAAAAACAACAGAAAACACAAGATAATCAATCCAAAAGGAAAATACTCATAACAAGGATGTCAAGAAAAAAGATCTCCATTAAGAACATACTCCAGACATTTTTGAATAACAAAGCAATAAATGTTACAACTCAAATATTCAGAATCAAGGCAATACATTGAGAAACTAACCCTAACACTTAGGTATTCAATTACTATTTCAATTTTTCCCTCACTTCTACCCAATCTTAGAAAACTGGCCCATAGATTTCAACAATACTATAAATTACTAGAGAAAGAGGGCTCACCTAAGAAATTCACAATTCTATTTAACAGATTTAGGCCAAATACAGTTTCTTCACAATTCACTTTGACGGACAAGTTCAATGGATCAGAGCATTTACCTTCAACAGTAATTGTTATTAAGCAAGGAATTGAGCTACTCAAGATTTCACTGCTGAACCTTAAGCGCAAACCTGATGCATCATCAAGGTTGGTAGTGATTGGCATATCAACAGATACAAGACAAAGATTTGCATTGCTAAGCATTTTTAGTGCCAGGCTCTCACAGATTGCAAGAAATTGGTCTTTGATTAACAAACTATTGCCTCTCTCCTTGTTTAGCTCCTCAATATGATCAGTGAAAGTGCAACTGTCACACATAAATCACGAAATCCACTTAGAAAGGGCCCAGCCGCTATTAAGAAACCAAAATAAATGAACAGAGGAAGAAAAATAATAATGTTAATTGCAATCTAAACAATGGAAATCAAATACATATTAGCACTCTAAAGAAGGAAGACACAAGAACTAACAGTAAAAGGGTGAAAATGAACCAAATTTGTCGATTCAGTGAATACTTCTAGTATCAACCAATTTGAAGAACAAACAGAAAAGTGGCTAACCTCCTTGTGTATTCAAACATTCCAGGGAGACGAGATTCTTCATCTGTGAAGGCTTCAATGTCCATTGGAAGTGGTTTTACAAAATATCCAATGTCTGGTCGCAACTTAACAGGAAGCTTCTTGCCACTACATATTAAGGCTAGCTTCAAAGGCAATAGGTGGTGACGAAAGCGAACCTGAAGAATCCTCTTTGTTGTCTGGCCAGGTGTCAAAGAGGCAATCTCTTCCATTGGAACCAGAGTTGGCACATCATCATGAGACACTGGGGAGCTGCAACATTGAGAGATAAAAGGCTGGCTAAAATTAGCACATTAAGGCAGAACTTATGACATTCACAATCCAAAATAAACCACTCATGCAACAAATGATATTATGAAGACAGTGGACTGAAATATATTAAAACTTATAACAACAACAGACATCTTATTGTTGAAAATAGTGAACTGAGGAAATTTATATATATTCCAGAGAAATTAAAACTAAAAAACTTATATTTGTTTGAAACAATATTAAATTGATTAAGTTGACCAATTTAAAGGAACAACAAACTATGCACAATAATAATCAATGCATAAAATGGACATAGGCTAAGCTCATTGAAGAAGGAAATAAAACAAGATAGATGGAAAAACTCTGAAGAAGAAAAACGTTAGGACTTCTGGAAATTCCACCAAGACTCTGACTTTCACTATGTCTAATGAGAAGGAATCCAGTTGACAAAATGAATCAATTTGACTTTGATGGTTGATTTATGAGTTGAGGTTTCCAACCTTTTAGTACTAATAGATTCCATAATAGAACCCATATCCACAGATTCTTCAATTTTCAAAATAATGGCCCTCATCATATAGCTAGTTAAAAAATTGGAAAACAAATTATTGTGATGGGATAGAAGGAATGAATGACAACAATGAGATCACTAAATATAGAGCTTTTCCACATTTAAGTAGATAAATAATTGGACAAATTTATAAACACCTATAACCATAGAGTAAAATTACCTCTCATTTGCAAGTGATGCTTGGTCAGTAGCATCTAATCCTTTGTTAGACTCCTCAAACACCAAGGTGATATCAGACATGAGCTCTGATGAACAGTTTTTAAAGTAAACTTCTATGCATACAAGTAAACGGGAGATGTCTGATATTTCAGAAGCAAATGAATAATCCACTTTCAGACCATTTCCATTAGCAGGGTCTAACAGTGCATATATTTTTGGTTTAACCTCGTTTCCAACATTCCCAACAGAGATTCTTGCCGAAGATCTATTTACTTCAGTTTGTTTGGATATGCATGGGTTTGATGAACCAGGCTGATCATCCAACCATGACTCTAGAGCTCTATGGGAAATTAGCTCCCCTAAATCAGCTGAGGACTGAGAAACAGCATTCTGGTTTTCTGAAGCATTGCCAATGTCTGAAATTTGAATCAATGGATCAGCATTTTCATCACATTCACTAGTAAAACCAGTTTCACCAGTGTGATCACTGCCACTAGAGCCAGTGATGGAATTCTGAGAACCATAATCAGAAGCATTTTCCTCATCTGAAGGTCCAGATGATGAGCCATGATCATCTGTCTCTTCAGAGTCACTATAAGTGGCACCTCTCACGGTTGCGTTTATTTCTTGAGGCACATTCAGACTGCAAGGCTTGGGGAGAGGTTCATATCCAGGAGCTGCATGAAGAACTATCTGTGACAGAGATCCAGGAAGATAAAATCGGCAGTTAACTGGTTCAGGTGACACGAGTTTAGTTTGTTTTCCAAATATGCATTTTGCAACTACATGTGGCAGGTCCTTTTGCTGAGGAAGACAATTTGTTACTTCCTCTGCCCCCTGAGAACCTAAACTGCATGAGCAAAGTTTCTTTAAGAAACGAGCTCGGTCACGGACATCATAGTTTAAATCACATTCAGCCAGTTCAAGCACATAGCTAAAAATTCTACTGAATGTACACAGCTCTTCCTCTTTTGCACAAAGTAGGACCTGTAAATAAAGGGGAGCTGAGGAATAAAGGCCATTCTCTAAGCATTAATGTCAAACTAGCAACTGACATATAATAAAGTAAACATGCGATTTGAGACAATAAAGATAAGAACATCCATGACCCCTGCTTCCCTTCCAAGGTGCATGGATAATGTTATAAACATGCAATTTCTCAGTCATACATGCTATCCCTTGCAATCTTGCAACCTATCCCCATCAATGGGACACACAAGCTCAATCCAGTATCTAAATAAGCACTTGAATCATTAGGCATGCAAAGACATCTCAATTTTTTTTTATCAATCTTCTAATTAGTCAATAAAACACAGTGGAAAATTTACCAGTCTTTCCATAGAATTAAAAACAAAAAAAGGTCTGTGTGTTTTTACATGCTAGGTTACATGGACTCATGGATATGTTACATGTGTCAAACTGTGTAGACATGAACATATGGTCAAAATATCTAAGCTTTCGATTTCCTTTCTATGGAGAAAGAGCCTGCTAATTTAATTTCAGTCATAAATCCACTTTAAAAACCAAATTAAAACTTCTAAGCTATTGGCAGTACCTTGACAGCAGTATTAAGAATCTGCAGCTTTGTTTCCAATGCTTCTGAAGTAAAGCACCAAGCAAGATATTTGATTACTGTCGTTAACATTCTGGGTATTATATCCCCCAGAGAGCTATACTCTCCCACCATCCAAATAACCATTGCTCGGGCTGCAGGTACTTTGATTGAATCCAAACGACGAACCAGCTGAATTATAACCTTTAACACCAAAAAGGGAGAGCTCATTTATAAAGCACAAAATATTAGAGGCTGCAAAACTTCTAAATCATGGAACATAAAGTAAGGTGGGGATAGGGACTTGGGAAAATGGAGAAAAGGAGGGTGAAAACAAGCAAGGAAATTGGATGCACTAAGGAAATTATGGCAAGGAGAAGTGGCTTAATTTCATCAGATTCGAAAGAGCAGAAAACACATGTAACATGGTAATAAAATATTAACGCTGCAAATAAACTTCATCATAGACTTTAGTTGCCAAGAGCATTATCATACATGAAAGTAAAATCCTACATGCATTACCTGCTGCCTCTATCCTTTTTTATTTCTGAACTCTAAACTGTGCTAAAAATGATACAACAATTCAGCCAAACAAAAAAAAATAAGAACATGCAATCACAAAGAAGATGATTAACAGGAGAAGAGAAAGAGATGAATACCTTCTCATGACTAGATGGGTCTTGCTTTATGATAGATTTGATAGACATTATTGCTTGAAGTAGAACATCCCCTTCTCCATCACCAGATCCATTAATCAAGAACTCTGCAAGATTTGGCATGGCTTCAGAAATCAAGAAACAAAATTCTCCAGGTCATTATACAGCAAGAAACTGAAACAGACCCTGTCTAGTTAGAGCCAACAGCTCATCTATGCATGCATTTGCCATTTTTGGAAGTTGTTGAACACATAGACCAATTGCAGCAACAGCATCTGCAGCAAATTGTCTGTCTGGATCTCTAATATAATCCTACAATACACTAAAAGATAAGCATCAATTCCATGAAGTTAGCATATAAATATACATCACTGTAACTGGGTCATATAGAAACAGCTTTGTCAAATAGTTAAAAGAGAAAAGAAAAATGGTGAAACCACACAATAGTTATTTACAAAGAGAGAATATACAGCCTACTCTAAGGTTTTACATCTTACTGAAGGCCCTGAGGGAATAATTTAACATCTCCCATCTCACCTAAAAAGCAAATGTTTCTAAATTCACGTTCCAAAAACCATTGAACATTCACTTATTCAAAGGTGGTCACAATAGTTCAACGCATAAAGTTTAGTCATAAATGGAAAATCTTTAAAATATAAGAATATAAATGGATGGGAAAGAGGCAATAGCATTCCTTCAGCAATTAAGAACTCCATAAAGTTGCTTGGAAGTAGCTCCCTAAATGTGAAGAAAACTTTTAAGATAAATCATGAAATAATTTCAAAAGTGGTCTTATTATTTCATTTAGAGTCTGATATGGCAATAAATTGAAAATCTGAAAGCAAAAACATCACTTAACCTAGGCTGCCACTAAACAGTAGAAACAATGCAGAAGACAACAGGAGGAGAAAAATATTACCTGAAACTCTTTGAAAATAGATGTAATGGATGAATCTGTGGCAATGGTAGAAAGTATCTCAAGTTTCAAAGCTTTAATTTGATAAGAATCAGAAGAACATATGAAGAAATCTTCAAAGTTCGGGGCAAAGAGAGAAGGCAGCACTTTAGCAAACACTTGAATGTTGCGGAGGACCTGCTCACACCATCATCAAAACCATCCTCACCATCTACCAGTCATGCACTTAAGAAATAACACAAATAAAATAACCAAAATCCTAAATTGGGCCTTCCCAGCAATTGTAATGTGTTTTGCTTTGATGTACAAGCATCTCTGATAACATGGTTTTTCTTTTTCTTTTTTCCTTTTTTTCTTTTGAACATCTCTCTGAACTCGGATAACATGGTTACATCAAGACTACAAATTACAATGTGTTTTGGCATTAATATGTTATGATATGTTTGCTACCCTATCACCAGTTTAATCATTTTAGTTTAGTGTCCAATTAACCCACAATTTTGCCACACCATTGTGTGAGTAACACAATGTGAAAGATCAAGTGCTCCCACAATAACACTCTAGTGTTTAAAATGAGAAAAAAGTACTTTTTTCCCAATTATTTCCTGTTATAGAATCCAAAAACTTTCTTTTCAAATGTTTCCCATTTCTTTATGCCACTAAACCTATTGCAAACATGACCATTCAAAGCTTCTTTATTCCTAGTCCAATAGTCCTCAATCTTGGCTTCTTGAAATGATGATGAAGAAGCAAATCAAAGGCATCACAACGTGTTTTGGCATACAAGCACACAATCTTGATACAAAAAATGTGCACATGGTATGCCATGCATGTGTTTGCATGCACAGATAACCTGCATGCAGATCTACATGTATATTATCAAGTGACATGAAGAATGGTAGCATGAACATGAAAAGTAATCATGTAAAACAGGTAAATCAAGGAAATATAAAATACCACATATTTGGAGGCATTAGATGATCTCAGAACAAACAGAAGTGGTTTAGCAATTCTTTTGACATCCTCCCTTGGTGCCATGACCCAGTGCACACCGGCAGCTGCTAGAACCACTGCACTATTGTTACTCCATAACAATGGAGATGTGCAATGAAGCAGGATCTTCACATCATCATTAGTTTTGCCAGATGTAAATTTTACACCATGTAATTCAAAAGGAACCCTTTTACTGTAACTTGACCGAGATAAATATTCATCTGGACCTTCAATATAACACCTAGAGACCATAGTTGCTAATTCAAAGTTGTATGCCCCACCCCTGTCAACAGAATCCTTTTCTAATTCAAAGTTGACATCTGAACCATCTTTTTCAGAATGGGAACTCTCTGTACAATGCAAAGAAAACATAATGGATTCCTTTACAAGCCCATGCCTAGCAATAGCAAATCGCAAAAGGATTTCAATTAAGATTATCTGCCCCCATTCTTCTACATCGGGGAGAATCTCACATAGCCTTCTATAATTCTTCCCAATCAAAGATAAGTTATTTGGACAAACAGAAGCAAATGCTGCTGCCGCAGCTCCAACTACCCCAGGGGAGTGGTCATTTAACAATATTCCAACAACCTGCGAAAAAGAGATAGTTAAGTCGTCTTTCTGCTCTAGACATTGATTGTGAAATTAGAGGAGGTATGAAATCAATCCAACCTCTTCAAGTGAAGAGGCATGCTCCTCTAGGCGCAAATCATGCAATTTTGGAAGAGCATTGGCAGCACACTTTCTGACATAGACTGACGGATCTCTAGCACACTTGTTCACGGCCACTAGAACAAGAGGTGCAATTACATGTAGACGAATGCCAGCCATGGTACGTAGTGCACATGCTCTCACTAAAGGATTTGGATCCCCCAAATCCTTCTGGAAACAATTAATCGATAACAAGGCCTCATTTGGACGCCTAAATAATCAAAGATACAAAGTATTAGAGATTTAAACAGACCAAACATGATACAGGTGTAAACTCAAACTCAGTTTTCCCCATCCTTTGAGCCACCATCTTATTGTAAGATAGGGCATAACTGCTTATGCAAAGGGATTCTAGTAACCTTCCTAAACACTACACTTTATAAGAAACCAAAGATTTCTTTCACATGATTCACAACCATGTAAACCAACAAAATCCATGGTAGTGACTTTCTTCACTACCACGTGGCAATCGTCTAATTTCCCTTAGTCCAATAACATTTCTTATTGATAAAAAGGAAATGAAATATAAGTATAAATATTTATTTTTAAAGGAAATTACTCTATTGATTAGAAGGGGAAAAGGATAATATATAAGAAAACGTACTTTTCAGCATAATGCAGCAGGTACAAGTAAACCAGCTTCTTTACTTCCAATGACTGAGTTGCTACATTCTTTACAACCTGCAATTAGAGTAACCAATGAAGGAAAAAGAAAAATCAAAGAAAATATTCAATAACCATAGAAAAAGAAGAACCATTAAATTAAAATTTTTACTTTTCTAGTTTCTTTCAACATTTTCTGGAGCTACATTTAACATGCTTCATTTCTGGTCAGGTTTTAAACTATTTCCTCAAGGAACAAGGAGAGTATGGAAGGATTGACAATTCAAATTAAAAACTATCAGAAACAGGTGAAACATAACTTGATTTAGCATCTAAGATCACGAAAAATTCAATTAAACAGATCGAATTGTAATGTTAAGCATATTTCTCTATGAATGTCAAGATCATGATGTTCGACTGCCTGATACAATAGCCTTTCTGCGGTTTCTTGAAGGTACCTGAGGGAAGAAATTGGAGACATCGCAGCCTTGGGCGATGAGAGCGAGGAGACGTTTGAGAGCCTCGCACTTCTCGGAGTCGAATTTGCTATCAAGAAGCGGAGCGATGTTCACGTCCTCCGGATCGTCGTAGAGATGCGCATCTGTTCCAATCCGGAACACTATTGTTGATGCCTTGCTCAAGGTCTCTGCAGTGGCTCCGAATTGAGGGAACATTTTAGCTCTTTTCAACTTGTTTTTGGTGAATCACAATTCCGATTTGCACATTTCCGTTAGCATGAGTGTGAAATGGTACTGGCACCGGAATATACAGAGGTAGTGGGAGGATGGAGATGGGTTCTGTTTGGAAACGAGAATAACCGTAACCTTGTCATGGATATCGTTATTGTTTTATTTTTAGTTTTCCTTTCCTTGAATATGACACCTTTAGAGACTTGGGCCTGTTGGCCCCAAAAAGGCTTGGGCCTTGGGTTCAATCCTTCCCTATCTCAGCTCCTTCTAAAAAGTGGAATTATATGTTTTGGGTTTCGATTTCTTTGGTGCGCTATAATGGTTGGTTTTTATTTTTTGTTTTTGTTTTTTATTATCTAAAAAATGTATAAAATATTATATAAATAAGATTAATAAATATATAAAAATATTTCATTAAGATTATTTAAAAGTTTAAATTTATATTTTTAAATAAAATACTTTGTAAAAAAGATATGCGTGAAATATTGAGATATAGTTATGAATACATATTAATTTGTTAAGATTACG